AACTGGATGTCGCAGAAAGTTCCTACCTGCCTCAAGTTGTTTGCAATTTCTTAGAGACAGACGTAACAGAATAAGTATTCTTTCCCCTCAATCTACAGTGTGAATTTACAAGGAGGTGTCTCAGAGAAAGTCACTTGTTTTGACCAAAGCTCTGAAACTGGTGAAGGTAGGAAGGAAACTTTTCAGAAACGAGCGGGAGAACTTAGTAAAATCAGGATGACAATAATAGACATAGGGCACACAAAATAAGGTTGGACAGTTAGGGAGTGGATGGATACCCAGTCAGCCTTGAGTTTCAAGCAAATCGCCTTATGCTTCTCAGATGTGGCCTTACTCAAGCTTTAAGGCCCAGCTTGATGGCCGCCTTCCTGACCATTCCCTTCCCTTCCTCTCAGCCCTGGAGACCAGTTCCTGGCGCTCTCCCACAGTGCCAGGCCCTCTTCCATTATGCTCCAGGCAACAACGGTGGGTATCTAATTCAGAGTGTCCCCCATGAGACTAAATGAAAAATTCAGTCTGTGTGAGGGGCCATGTGTAAGTTTTACTCAGCTACGATCCTCGGAGCTGCCAAGTATGTCAACTACCCACAATACAGACACATTTTATTAGATGAACAAATGAAGATTGGCACTAAGAAGCCAAAAAAGGATTCTAGAAAAGGGAGCTGCAATTAGAGATGACAGTTCAACCACTCTGGTAGCCAAGTGAAGACCAGTTTGGAAGGACAAGACTAGACCTAGGGGACAAGGAGACCACTGAATAAGTTCTTCAGAACCCACAGATGCAAGCCGCCAGGAACTGGGCAATAGGGAGAAGACTATCACGGAGACACAATTAGAAAACAAAAATCTGGTAATTCAGTGGTCAGGGACACAAAGAGGGGAATCTAAGAATGATCAGGGCACAAGTAGCATGCAATGCCATTCAATTGTACCACGAGTCCAGGACAGGGCAAACACTTCCTGAGTAACCACTGCCTGCTAGTATGGAACAGACACATTTCTAGCTCTGAAATTCTATGACGGGAAGAATTTAAATCCAACCGCAGCTGAAGTTAATAGTCACTGGTCACAGTTTCTATTAATATGTTGATAAAACTAAAATTTTAGACTTTCTTTTATTCATTTTTTTAAAGTTTCCTCACCAACATGCTTCTGAGTTGGTGGCCACAGACAACACTGGTTGAGGGGTATAGAAATCAAAGTACTCTCTGGTATAAAGAGTTGAGAGTCTTTTGAGTTTGAGGAATATATCTGCATGCCAATGACCTCGAAACTGAAGCCCAGAAAGTGATTTGACCAGTCCCGTGCTCCCACTTCTGGAGCACAGATTTCATAAGCTGCATCAATCATCTGGCCAATACGCAGTGAGTTGTTGTTTAACAGACAGCCCTAACACTGCTCTGCCTGGACACTCTTCAGGGCTCCACAGGACACAAAGAGAGATCTGACTGAAGAAACTGCTGGGTGCTAGGTAACTTCTTGGCCATATGGCAGCAACTAGTGTGCATGGGGTATGGGGGATAGTGTTAAAACAAGGGAGGAGGGGAAAGGACCTGGTTTGTCATGGAAAAAATCCACCTGAGGAAAGGTCAAAGCTGCAGGTGCCAAAGCAGACTCTCCCGAGACTCTGGAAGTGACAGCAGAGAAATAAACATTCAGGGACAGCGGAGCAGGAATCCTCTTTAGACAGGTTCCTCCCCGAACACTCTACGGCTACATCCCAAGGCAGTGAAGGAAAAAGACAGAAGCTCCACGGTATGTATAATCCATCTCCAGAACATCTGAGAAGACTCAGTTCCAGGAGGGCATGAAGGAGCCCATAAGTGCAAGATGGTACGCAGACTCTTCCCAAACTGAAACAAAACACTTGCAGCTCCCGCCTGGGAGGCACTTCCCACTTCTCCTCCTCCATTTCCGTTTTTTATTTTTATTTTTTGTTTTATTTTTGGGGGCCACACCCGGCAGTACTATGGGCCTATTCCTGGCTCTGCACTCAGGAATCGCTCCTGGAAGTGCCGGGGGTGGGCTGTCTGCAAGGCAGACAACGCCCTGACCTGCGTGCTATCGCTCTGCACCACGTTACCAAACACCAGTTTTTTAAAAAAATGAACAGCTACCTCAATGCCTGTAGCTAACATCCTTCACCACCTAGCTTTGCCTTCTCACCCGGTACTCTCCGGACTCTCTCCCCATTTCTCTGCCTGGGAACCCAGCTGTCTCAGCAAGTCCAGGTTCAACAGTTACTTCCTCTGGGACACAGTCCCAAATCATACTGCTCCTGGCTTTATCCCCAAGCTTCTGTGGGGTTCTGCCTATACCTTCTCCACAGTTATTCCTAGGACCCAGGGTCACTGCGTCCTACTGTTTATCTCAGGGTTCCCCAATCATCTGGCAAATTCCTAAAGTGGTAACTAGTTTTCACTCACTTTTCTATGACTACTCTAACCGAGGGCCCTCACGGGACACACACAAAGGCTTCGTAACGAAATGATAAAACTACTTCCAAACTGCTAAAACGTGCTCCACATTTTGCCTGCTAAATCGCTTCAAGAATTTACCTGCATATACACGCATACATGGGAAGCACCTTGACTCACAGTTTGACTCACAGTTCCCTTATAAAAGCATCTTGACTAAAAACTTTGTTTTGGTTGTCAAGCAAACAGCTGGCATGTAGTGAAGCGTCGAAAGTTCCTCATCGATGTTTTTAACTCTAAATACGTGATCCCTTTCCTTCCTCTGTAGTACACCGACCTTGGAGGCTCAGACAAGTGGTTTTGGAGAAGAAACCAAGTCTTTTTTATACCGATGTTTAGAAACATGGTTACTCAATATTTCCAAAAACAAAGAGCCCCCACCATTTACTTTCACTTTCTATATATAATACCCACAGTAAAAAGTTCAAATGCATAGTATTACCTGAGACCCGAGAAAATGACCCAAAAGTTCTATTGTAATAAGAATGTTCAAAAACCTTCATTTGAAGATTATGGGATTAAATTTTAACCATAAAGTCTCAAATATATTTCCATTCTAGGAAAAATAAAACCCGTAAAAATTAGTTTAACTGCTGAGTTCTCGTATGTTTTAAACTAATGGATCTCACTTCAACTTACTCAACACAAAAAACATTAGTAAGTAGAGAGCAATTCCTATGCAGAAAAATAAAACAATAAAAAAAAATCAATTGTGCAAACTGAAAAAGAAAGGCACCACCCAAAAAGCCCTGTCTGGAAAGTCTTGACAGTGGTGTATAGAGAAAAGTTAGCATGGTCGGTCCCAACACTGCTTCCATATACGACCTTGGGAATGTGTTATTCTCTCATTTCAAGTTCTGTAAAATGGGTGTATCATCTTTCCCTATTAGGGTCCATTAGATAATTGGATAAAGAATCCTTTTTTTAAAAAAAATATCCAGCTTTGTCTAATTGGTATGCCTTAATCACTGCTTTTGTACAGTACATTCCCCTTCATGAATCCAATTCCAAGAGAAATATTTAAGCAGACGCCAAAGACAGATTTCCTTAAGGGAGTACGTTTATGAATCTGGAAAGCAATGTACCAAGCTTATAAATTAACAAGTTGATTACATAAGGCTTGACAACTCCAAGCTTTAAAGTACGCTGGATATACCCTTGGATAAATTAGAGGGGTCTGGGACCTAGCACCCAGACTCCCTTACAAGGAACCCAGACTGGGGTAGCTGACATTTGAGACGAATTTGGTGGAAATTGAACAGGATGCCCAGCATTTGCAGTGCCATCCCTGGCAAGCCATGTTTCACCTTAACACCAGATCAGATGTGAAGTGCATTAAGTCTGCTTTGAGAACTCAATTGAACTGAAGAGGGGCTAAGGGTAGGGTGGAGAGTAACATGACAGTGGGAAAGGTCCTATATATATTCTCACTGGGCTACTGGTTTCATCACCCTACTGTTCAGTTCTCCCCAACAACAGGACTTTAACCGAACTCCCTGGAAAGCTGCTGGGCTGCATGATACCCAAGTGCTACAGGCAGCAGAGCTTCACCGGGTGCCAGTAGCATCCCCCCCCCCCGCCCCCCACGGAATAAAAGGCCATTCCTACTTTCCTACAGCCCAAGCTTAAGTAAGAGAGAAAGACACCACACACACACACACACACACACACACACACACACACACACGGCGGTTTTGTGCAAAATGGTCCAGAAAGAAATCAACAGGCGATGACGATGGATCAGAAGGGAGGTCTTCCAATCTGGGGGGTGATGGGTTAGGGGGTGGGGGGAGTGGAGGGGGGTGGGATCTAGCCCTCCCTCGGGAACCGCACTGCTCCCCGTTGCCCTTTCTCTATCGACAACAATATCCCCATTCTATTGTACGGCTGCAGTTTTAACCGAGGAACACCCCCCACCACCACCCTCCCCTCACTGCGGCCACATTTCTAGAACCGTTTGCAAAAGAAAAACACGTTCAGAGACGAACAAACACACATACACAGACACAGACACAGACACAGACACACACACACACACACACACACACACATGCGCGCGCGCGCGCGAGCGAGAAGCTGGGCGCGGGCACCCCGGCTGGGGCGCGGGGCCCCGCGGGCGCCGCACTCGGCCCGCTCCGGGGCGGGGCGCGGGGATGCGGGCGCCTCCCGAGGTGCCGCAATCCCGCCGCGGCCGCAAGGGCAGGGCCTCCCGGGCGTCCGCCACCGGCCGCCGCAGTGACGGCTCCCGCCCCGGCCCCGCCGCTCAGGCCGCGCCGCCGCCCCGCCAGCTCGGAGCCGCTGCAGCCCGGGGGCCCCCCGCGTCCTCTCGGGCCCGCGCAGGCTGCAGCGGGCTCGGGCAGCGCCGGGCGCGCAACTTACTTTCCGCCTGCGGCGGGCGCCCCGGCCCGGGCTGCCCAGCCCCGTCCACGGCACACGCTCCCGGCCAGGGCTGGAGGCCGGCCCCTGTCCGTCCGCCCGCCCCCGGCCGCCGCGCCCCGCCGCGCTCGGCGCTCGCCCCTACCTGCGCCTGCAGGCGGCCGTCCGTCCGCAGCGGCCGCGGCGCCGACGACTCCCTCCCGGCTGCCGAGTCCCCGCACCCAGCGCTAATCATAATACGGAGCGGACAGCCGGCCGCGGGGAGGGGGGTGGGGCCCGGGCTGCGCCTGCGCGGTGCGCGCGTCACGGTGACGTCAGCAGGGGGCGGGGTCGGGAGGGCGGGGCCTCCTGGGGGGCGGGGCGCACCTACTGGACCCGGCGCGCGCGGGCTGCTGCTGCTGCTGCTGCTGCTGCTGCTGCTGCAGGGCATCCTGCAAGTCTGGACTGCGGCTGCTGCTAGGAGCGGGCGATGCTCGAAGGAGGGGAGGCTCCGGTGATGGGGCAAGCACCGGGGACAGCCGAACAATGACCAAGGAAACAGTAGAGCGAGCTGTCGATGGAAATGGGAAAGCGAAGAGTCTTGCGTCCCTGGAGCCAGGGGCTGAGAGTCGCGCGCGCTTGTTTACCCTTTAGAGGGGGTTCACCTCGCCTCCCGCCCAAGTTTAAGCAAGGAAAGGGAGAGAGAGAGACGCTGGCGCGTGTAGGCACGCGTCGGCTCCATAGTTTCTGCCGCGCCTTCTCTCTGGGAGTCCAAATGGAAAGGATTTTTGTCGGGTTTGTTGCTATTTAAACAAAAAATCCGACATCTGACTGCACCTCTGGCTTTAAAGGTCACTGGGAGACACTGGTCTGGCTAGACTGTCATCGCTGGAAACAGTGTACAAAGGCAAAAAGGTCTTGGAAAGTATTAATACATATGAAATCAGGGGTTCAAAGCATGCAGGCGTTCACCGTGGCGCTGGCTGTTTCGAGTGTTTGTTCCCCAGGCCGGTGGCTGCGAAAGGAACTTAGCACCGACCAGGCAGTATGGGACTGTTGCAGATTCCTGGAAGAGAGCAAGCAGCAAAGTTGGATGGGATATCAGATTTGTCCAGCCTGCTTTTTCCCTTTCTCTCCCCCACCACCCCACCCCTACCCACACACAGTCTCTTAATCTTTGCCCAAGACCCCCACCCCACCCCCGAAAATAGAACCCTGGAAAAGAAGTACGCAAGCCAAAACAACGGCTTGGATGGTCCAAATTTGATTAAATTGAGTCTGCAGGAGAGAAACCCAGAAGGCTTTAGCGAATATTTCTGTCAAACCTGCAAACATAAAGAACGTTTTCTTTCTGAATTTCTCCACAGCATGGACTCAGCATGTCAGAAGATGATTGGAGAGCAAAAGTGGGTTGTTGGGAATTGCAAACCCTTAGGAGATTAAGAATTTCTATTACAGATTTTTTCCCAGTTGCCTTAAAGCATTTCCATGGGGTAAAGGATCTTAAGGGGAAAGCTTCAGAAAGAGGTCCTATTCCACTGTTCTGAATCAAGGGCCCAATCCTGTATCACTGATTTAAGCTATAAAAGATCTGGTCTCTCTGATGCTGACTTTCTCTAGCAGTGTATTAGGGAAGGATGCCTGACTTGGTGTGTGGAATTGTTCCTTTGTTGCTGGGAAGTTGGAAGCCTTTTCAGCTCTTTCCCCTCTGGGAGATATCACAATTCAGAGAACCCCCTTAGCCAAGTAAAGGGAAAAATAACCACACTAATGGTCTCCCCAAGGGAATTTCAATGGTTAAGGTCTCCACTTCCAGGCCTATAATCCCTGAGATACAATAATAACTACAAAATAATGGCCCTCGGAAAACTTTTTCTTTTACTGTTGTGAACTCAGGTTTCAAATACATTTGTAAGAAACACAAGGACATAAGAATAGGAAAACAATAAGTGAAAAGAAGCAGAATAATAATAAATTGATTTAAATAAAGTTGGTGCCAACAGTCTTCCAGAAAGAGGGATGTAGTAAAGGCCATGTGGTAAATCATTTATTTATCCCCAGTGTTTCTTGGGGGGCTGGTGTGCTTCTGGCAAGAACATGATCCATTTTTGGTTCCACACCATAAATGTGGTAACATGATCTGATTATACTTGGGCAATATTTAAAAATATTCAAGTACAAATTAATATATTATTACTTAACTTTGAATTTAAGCAAATGTGTTTATTGTTTATGATGAAACCTCTTCTCCAATTTGCCCTGGGGCTTTCTCCAACACAAACTGCTTTTTCTAATGTTAGGTCTTTTTATGGACCTGTAAGACGCTTTAATTAGATATACAGCATTCAACAAAATGACAAGATGGAGCATGCAGGCTTGTATTACAGTCTCTGTGATTCAGATCTCAAAAATAACATAATGCCACCAATTCACGGAAGAAGTTGTTTATTAGAAGGAAACCAGGGAGATGCTATAAATTAGATCAAGATGTGAAAAGCAAGCAGATTACTGAAAGATTTGCCGATTTCATTTCAAAATTCTGCCTCAGTCTCCACCCAGCCCCCTCCCAAGCATCTCTTATAACAAGATTTTCTTCTTTTAAATTGTTAGTTTTCATTATTTAGTCCACATATACGATACACGTAAAACAGCATTATTGAATATTCACATATTGTTCAATTTGAGTTCTGTGATTTCCATCATATTCTTTTATGTATTTAATTTATCATTTTGTACATTGGCAATTTGTGCATTTTTTAAATCCTGGCTTTACCCCTAGTGGGACCGGTAATATTTTACTGTGCTAAAAAAAAGAAATCCTCATACACTTTTTTTTATTTGTTTTTGACCATATCCTCAGCATCAGCTAGCATCTCTAATTCAGCTCTGATGTCACTGAAGACTTGTCTGTGAGAGTGTGTATGTCTAATATACTAATGATAATTGAAAACAAGGATTAAAAATATCAACGCTTAACTTCACTTTGCAAAAAAACCTGTGAACTAAGAGACATAGCAAACTTTGCCACCTGACATTGACTCACAACTTCCTCACCAAGAACTATATGGACTCAGTCAGGTTGTTTAACCTGTTTGTTTCCTCCTTTGTAAAAATGGGAATGATAGCGATGATAATAATACCTTCCTTCCAAAGCTGGTGTAAAGCAATGGTTCTCAAATTGTGCTCCCTAGACCCATCATATCAGCTTCTCCTGGGAACTGGATTTGAAATGCAACTTCTTGGGCTCTACTCCAGACTAAATAAAAAACTCTGTTGTTGTTTCTTTCTTTTAGGAGGACTTCCAGGTAATTCTGATGCAAGTGAAGAGTTTGAGAACCACCCTTGATGAGATTAAGTGAGTTTATATAAGTATTAAAACAGTACTTGTATTTACTAAGCATCATATTAATGAATATTTATTAAACAAGTGCAATAGGATATTGCCAGGATATGCAAATTTTAATTTGGGTCCAAAAGAAGCCTGTCCAGGTTCCTCGAAGAAAGAAATCCTGGTAAATCCCTTGTCCAAAGACTTGACACAGCCTGCCAAGCTCTGCTTGACTTAGCCTCTGCTTTCCTTTCCTGTTCGTTTCCCATGTGGACCCCATCTCCCACCTTTCCAGCTTTCAGGAAAAAACAAAAAGTTTTCCTCACACCTTCAGTATCTTTGTCTATTCTGATTCCCTCATCCTAGAAACAACACTCAACCCACTTCTCCAAAAGTTTCACTTGCCGTGTCCTGAATTCCTACTTACCCTTCAAAACCCAGCTCTACCATCCAGCCTCCCTTAGGGTGTCCCCAATATGTGTCATCTAGTTTTGTAAACAGATAATTCTGTTTTTTCCCTTCAGATTTGAAACTCTCAAAAGGCAATGGGATTTATTTTATTCAAATGTTTGGTTATGCTGCTTTAGCACTGTGGTTTTTTCCCAAATAGGTAGTCCTGGATGGGAGAGCACTCAAAGGGCTGAGGTGTGTTTGCTGGAGTTCCAAATCCGACACCACTATGGTTCCCGGAACACTGCCAGCTGTGCTCTACATCCTCCAGGAAAAAAGCACCTAAGCAGCCAAAGACTCAATGGCTCTTTTTAATCGCTCAGATTCTTTAGGAACTTGGATTAGTTGTAAACAGGTTGAAATTGGGAGATTTATAGGGCCAGAGAGATAGACAGTAAAGGGGTAAATGTGCTTGCCTTGCCTGGCACTAACCCTGGTTTAATCCCTGGTTTAACACCATTTATGGTCTCAGCATGTGACACAAGCTCCCTTCGCTATGCTTTGGTTCTGACCTCTCCCTTAGTGATTTTTGACTTTATTACTTTCTTATTTCATTTCATTTCTAGAATGTTTATTATCAATATATACACACACTGTCCTCCCGTTGTTCATCGATTTGCTCGAGCGGACCCAGTAATGTCTCCATTTTGAGACTTGTTGTTACTGTGTTTAGCATATTGAATACATCACAGGTAGCTTGCCAGGCTTTGCCTTGCGGGCGAGATACTCTCGGAAGCTTGCCATGCTCTCGGAGAGGGGCGGAGGAATTGAACCCGGCTCCACCAGACTGGCTGTGCGCAAGGCAAACGCCCTACCACTGTGCTATCGCTCCAGCCCATCAATATATAGAAATATTGATGTTTTTGACCTTGTGATATTCTGATTTATTAGTTCTATTTGTTTTTTTTCTTCTAAGATTTACTGGGATTGCAGCTGGAGAAATAATACAGCAGGTAGGGTGCTTGTCTTCCGTGTGACTGACTTGGGTTTGATCCCTAACACCCCATACAATCACCCTCCCGCTGCCAGGAAGGATCCTGAGTGAAAAGGCAAGAGTAAGTCCTGAGCATTGCTGGATTTTCCCTCTCACCTCCCAAAAAATTCACTGATATTTTCTAGATCTTAAAGGTAAAGGTAAAGGCCCTCCCGTTGATCGTCGATTTGCTCGAGCGGGCCCAGTAACGTCTCCATTGGAGACTTTGTTGTTACTGTGTCTGGCATATCAAATACTCTCGGTAGCTTGCCGGGCTCTCCGAGAGGGGCGGAGGAATCGAACTCGGGTCGGCCATGTTGGCCGCTTGTAAGGCGAACGCCCTACCGCTGTATTTGCAAATACTTTTATTTCTTTTTTTCCAATTTAGATGCCTTTTCCCTGTCTCCTTAGCTATATTATCTCAAGCATGATATTGATTAGTAGTGCTGAGAGGGGACATCTTTGCTTTGTTCTCAAAATTAGAGAAAATGCCTTTAGTCTTTCACGATTATGGTATTAGCTGTAGGCTTT